TTGCATATGCAAAGGGAAGGGCTTCTAGGAACTGATGCTGAGGAGGGTGGTCTAAGCTCAGATAAGTATTCCCTTAGCACAAGACTGTGATCACGTTGCTAAGGTAGTTGGCTGGATTTCAATAGCCCTTGTCCACAGCCTCTGCCACCCTCCCCAGGAGATTATACAACCAGTCTCTATAGGGATATACCAGCAAGGCTCTTTCCCCCACACTGGACCCAAGGAGAGGTCTGGCTTGTCTGAGAAACCCAAACCAGCAAGTTCCTAGTTGCTTTATTTACATCTGAACATTCAAACACTTATTCAACACATTAAAAGAATAAACGTATAAGAGAAAAGCTGATTTTTTTTTTTTAGTTTTAGATTAAAAAGATGTTCTAATGGGCAGAGGCATATTCAAAATATTTAACCATCAGTACATCAGGGGCACTGGCCAGTCATAATAGATGTTGGTCTTGATCTTGAAACAGTCACTTGGAGTCTTCCCGTTAGGCCATGTATTTCCCTTTTAGTGGGAGGGTCACGGGAAGATAACCGCTTGGGTATTTATTAGCTGAGTATCACCTTACGGGTCATATTTGGGCAGATAGTTTTCCAGCAAGTCCATACTCCTAGCATTGTTTTCCTCTACTTGACNCAAATAATGGTGCAGTAAGCACCAGCTGAAGGATGTGCCAGTCTCGAATGACAAAAGCCAGTCCTCCCAGAAGCATCTGTCCCATAGAAGCAAAGCAGATTGACATTGCCATTCCCATGGCTTGGAATCTGGGCATTGTCCATTCGATAACTGAAAGAAAACACAAACAGGATTTTGACTTCAAACAAGGTTGGAATTTCAAAGTTAAAATGAGGGCTTGGAAAAGGTCAAAGATCCAAAGTTTTTACTTACTAAGCAATACACTATTTGTCAGGATGCTGGTGGTACAAAGGCCAGCCCAGAAGCGTAGCAAGCAGTAAATGAGGAGGGTGGGAGCAAAGGATACACAGAAGTCAGCAATGGCTAATTGGAAGAGACACCATCTGAAAATTAACCTCCTTCCAAACCTGAAAAACAGGAACAAGTTAGATGTGGGAATAATAACAACCTGTTGTAAAAATTATCAGAAAGAAGGCACACTTGGAAATAGAGGTAATGTTTTAATAAGTGAAACTTTGCCTTTGAAACCTTAAAGAATCAACAATAGATCTCACGAGCAACCCTCCTGTTTGTAAATAGATACTCAGTATAACAAAGCTTCTTCTCAAATCTATTACCAATACATCTTTGAGACCAATTGAGACCATATAAGACAGGCTGCAACACAGTGGTCTGCTTTTATCCACTGTTTTGCTTTGCATGGTTTCAGTTACCCACAGTCACCAGCAGATCAGGAATATTAAATGGAGAATTCCAGAAATAAACAATTCATGTGTTTTAAATTTCTTGCCATTCTGAGTAGCGTGATGAAATCTCCATCCCACTCCATCCCACCCAGGGTTGTGAATCATCCCTTTGCCTAGTGTATCCATGCTGTATATGCTCTTTAGTCATTGAATAGCCAGTTCAGTTATCAGGTCGACTGTCATGGTATCACAATGCTTGTGTTTAAGTAACTCTTATTTTATTTAATGTAATAATGCCATATTCACATAACTTTTATTACAATATATTGGCATAACTGTCCTATTTTGTTAGTTATTGTTAATCTCTCACTTTACCTAATTTACGATTTAAACTTTATCATAGGTAGGTATATATGTGTAAGAAAGAAAAACATAGCATATATACGGTTCAGTACTATCCACAGTTTCAGGCATCCACTGGGGGTCTTGGAACGTATTCTCTGTGGCTAAGGGGGGACTCCTGTATTGGAAATTTTAACATATCACAAATGTCCTTTATACTAACGTAGGCATTTAACATAGTAGATTCCGTATAGTGTCTAAAATACAAGAAATCTGCTATGGACTGAATTGTATCGCCCGAAATTCATATATTGAAGTCCTAGTCACCAATGAAATGGTATTTGAAGATGGAGCTCCTGAGAGGTAATTAGCTTTACATGCGGTCATGAGGTGGGGTCCTCATGATGGGATTAGTGCCCTTAGAAGAAGAGACACCAGAGAGATTGCTCTCCCTCTCTCTCTGCCATGTGGGGATACAGCAAGAAGGTAGCTGTTCTTCAGCCAAGAAGAGAGCTCACACCAGGAACCAAATGACCCTGCCCCTTGACCTTGGACTTCCCAGCTTCCGGAACTTGAGAAAATAAGTTTATGTTGTTTAAGCCACCAACCTATGGTGTTTTGTTATGGTAGCCTGAGCTGACTAATGCAGGGTCTAACTAAATCTGTATTTGGGGCTCTAGGACCATGAAGGCTATGGATAAACTGAGGTGAAAGGAAACTCGTGGAACAACATATCATGCCAATGGGTTGCATAGAATCCCTTTCTGCTGAGCCCTTGGACAATGTGCTTCCCTAGAATAGGATCCAAGGGAGCCCCACCCAGGCAAAAAGACTTAGAGAAAGTTCTCAGGTAAAAGAAATAGGTATATCCTGTACATTCTCACAGGGAAAGCTCACATAAAAAGTTGTTAAATGTAGTGATATTTAGAGTGGCAGACATTTTGGT